GTTTTGTTTGATTAATTAATAACAATGGAACAAGCAGGTGGAGCAGTGAATTTGTTCAATAGAAACATAATGAAAACTGCGCTTACTAATATAATACATGCGGTTTTAATAGTTCAAATGTTTTGCTCACCGTACGTAGGAGAACAGTAATATTTGGCTTTGCATTCCTAGGTTTGACGAAATGCGGCATTGCTTGTTGACATCAATTTCGTTCTGAATTATTAAAAATATGAATGTGACACGAATTATAGATCAGATATCTGTTGTAAATATGCATGCAGTTCTGTTACGAATCTGTCGACAAACCTACTGTAGGACATCATACTCAGAAATGGGTCATTAAATTGCATTCTTTTTAATTTGTATTTATTGCTGGCCTCACGATATACATTGAAGGATTTTATGGATATTAGGCGCCATAAATTCTTCCCAGAACTTGTCGTTAAGAGTAATGGTATCGTATATTTGTCTCGTTAACCTGCTTGTGTGAGGATATTTGATGAGCCCTTTCTGATGACGAACGAATCCAGTGACGTGATTGATGGCTCACAGGAGTCACGCGCTGTCACCAATTTCTTATGCCGATCAAGTTTATGTCCGTAATTCTAACATTTGTAGCATCGCAGTTCAACACTTGGACCGCAGACCACATTCGACCTACCCACGCCACATCAGTGTAAAGCCAGATATCTCAACTACGAGCGTGGTAGGGAAGTGTAACTGGATTTTGCAGGAACAGCCAGTGATTTCATGACCTCGGTTGAACTGTCTGAGGATACAGACATTCATTGCGGTTTCCTCTACGATAAAATAACTTTGTGTTTGGTTCATAAACTGTCAGATGCAAAGTAAACATCGTGTATCATGGATTAGTACATCAGCTCATTAGAGACGCTGATCATTTACCTCCCCGTGCCCCGCACCCGATCATGGCGTACTGTTTAGGTACGGTGTAAAACGTACCTGTTCCTTCCCGTAGTTAACTTAATACTAATCTAATTCCACTGCAGTGTATTCATGTTATATATAGATTAATAGTTGGCCGTAATCCATCAGTTATTTCGTAGTCTCATGAACATTTTTGTCTTTCGGAACTCTTTAATACGCCACGTTAAGTGTAAATTAGTTTATAGTGAATTATACTAAGTTGTATAACGCGGTGTTCAAAGCACGAAAGTTTTTATGTAACCAGTTAGTTTAAATTATACTATATTTGCTGAATTGGAAATAATCGTATCAGTTAAATGGTTTTAAATAATAAAACCATGCACTTTATTTGTCGCTGGAACCAGCTATTTTAAACAATTATATACCTTTTGAAAATGATCGCATCAGTGTGAAAACTGCTATGTTTAAAAAGGGATTACTGCCAATAAATTGCAGTGCTATATAACTGTAAATAAAAATGACCAGCTAGAAATTAATATTCTGCATTAACATCTTTTATTCCAAATTCACACTTGTATTAGTTGATATGAAAAGTTTCAAATGCGCATGAGTGGCTTTATGTGGTAAAAGTTAATTATCTTTTTAAAAACATCTTCATAATCGTCACCGTGACAACCTCAAATCTCACAAATTTTACTTTGTTTCATACACATGAGTTATAAGTCATCTTACACGTTTGTGTCTGTATTTTAACGAAGCATTATACAAACACAATTTATAAATGAGCAATTTTTTTTTTAAATAGCTATACTTTGTAATAAAATAATTCAAATCAAGCATACACGAACATTATGTCTACCTGTTATTTATTTTGTTACATTGAAGTCTCTGAATCACTTTGGTGACATTTATTGAAATACGCTATGCTGATAAAGTTTTGCGGTAGAGATATTTGTGAGACCATCTGTCCTTCTGAGTTCATAATGCCGAAGTTTGAAGCAATTCATCTGGCCAAGAAATGTAACACAAGTTGAAGCATGAACCTTTAAACCACTATCACGATGCAGATTCATAGCTGTTAATCTCACTGCCATGACCAAGGATTCGTTCCGTTATTGACCCACTACAGGTACTTCGCCATGAAACGAACACGCTGTATATGAGGTTTATTTACTTTGGGCGTGGTTT